ATATAAACATGAGAAATAGGGATCTAAGCCAATTGTAATTTCGATGCACCGGTGCATTTGATAAAGTAAGCGTCGTCTGCTTCGATCCATAGAGTCTGGATTACGCGCAGGAAAAACTCGTGCAACGGAAGTGTTTCCCGATTGGCTAAACTCGTAACCATGACATCACGTGATTATTCTGGTGAACACCTGCATGAAATATACAACACGTCCAACCTGATTTGACATTTGTTTATATAAATAATCTTAACCGACGAAGCCATTGGCGGTGGGGTTTGTCTAGCGAGGTTAAAGCGTTGACTCGTCACACCAATCCACAACATTGGTACACCATGTAGAGCCGGTTTTGACGCCCCTCTGAATAATATGGCTTGGATTTTGTTCCAAATATCGCAAATGATTTTGTAATAATAAATGGTAATTTTAGCGGTATTCATCACAATAGAATGGAGATTAAATACAGCGGATGGTCGACCATGAGTTGCCAAGCGCCTTAACATTTTAATGGATTTTAATCATAATGATGATTATGAAAAAAAAAATATCGAAAAATTATGAAGAATATGTATAAAGTACCTGAGTACGTATTTACCGAGGGTCAAAGGAGAGTATACCGAGTTTAGTTTTTGATGATATGGAAAATTATTGAAAGAACTGTTGTTAAATTTAATTATGTCTATTTGAACATTCCTACAATGTAATCTGTGGCTGAATACTTTTGTGTAAAAATATATTGGTTCAATGAAGACTAGGGTAGGAAATGAACTTGCAACCACATGACCCCAAACATGGTTGAAATGTTATTAATTTATGCCGAAAAGAGCAAATTTATTGATTTTCAAGATATAATAAGATATCAAAGATATCCATCAACGAAATTCGATTAAAAGGGGTTAGCCTTGTAATGGTTAAAGCGTTTGGTCGTCACGCCGAATGCCCCGGTTCGATTCCCCACATGGGTACCACCCGTGAATTGCTGTAAAAGGCGACTGTGCTTGTCGTAAGAGGCGACTAACGGGATCGGGTGGTCAGGCTCACTGACTTGGTCGGTGCACGTCACCGAACCCAAGTGAGTGGATCGATGCTCATGATGTCAATCACTGGATTGTCTGGTCCAGAGTCGATTATTTACAGTGAGTGAGTGAGTGAGTGAGTGAGTTGGGTTTAACGCCGCTTTTAATAGTATTCCAGTTATATCGCGGCGTGTCAGCTTAATGTGGGAGGAAAGCCCGAAGTGATGCAGGTCTCAGACGTTTACCACTTCGGTGAAACCCACGAGCACGGGTATGGTGCTGATAAAACCTAGAAACATAATCGGGGCGAATCGGGATTCGAACCCACAATCATAGGTTTCTGGCGTGCCCAAGGGAGGCAACTCTGCACAGCGAATCGCGGCGCCTTAGACGACTGGGCCACCCGTGCCCCCGATTATTTACAGACCGCTGTGCTGACGATTAAGCGCCTCAGTCTGTGAATGTGGGTTCGAATCCCGGACGGGACTCAACCCTTAAAAGAACGAGAATCTGCAGTTCACTGAGAAAGTGTTATTTGTTATATCTTCTTGTACTTTTTCATCATGAAAAGTATTTACCTGGTAGTTTCAGAGGTAAAACAATACAAATATTACAAGTATCTAATTCATTTTATTCATTGAATCGGTTCATATTTTTCACATTTACCGAGAGTTCTATTTCGACCTGTAAACAAATGCCGTAAAGTTGAAGTAACTCAGGTAAGGTTCCTGTTTAGTTATTAAACAGATAAAATCCAACCACAGTAGTATTTAAGAAATGTGGTTTAGCTGAAGTAAGATGATATTTGTTCAAAGTTTCACTTGATAATCATGACTATCCGCGATGTTGTCTCGTTCATGTCGATACTCCGTCATCAGCTACTCATTGCAGTATGCAGCTAATTCATGTTGGTGGAGTTAGTTGTGTTGAGTTATTTCCATGTGTTTTTAGTTTTACAGCCATTCCCGTCTGGAATTGACACAAATCATCTAATTTCGGTAATTAATAAACTTCATAATAACACAGTAAAACAAGTTATATAAACTCATTAATATTCTCTGTGTGTATGTCGGGGGGGGGGGGGGGGGGGGGTAAGATGACAAAAGTGTTAATGTTTGTATGTTGCATCTTTCAATTAGCCAAGTCATACCACACACTGATGCCCAGAAAGTACAGGTCCCCAGAAGAGCCTCAGTCCATCATGGTGTACAGTCGCTGTCCAGTGTACACCAGAAGCATGGCACACCGTGCTCCACAGTATGAAGTACAAAATAATATTTTGACAATAAATAATCACATAATGTAAATACTATATGCAAATAATTTCTGTATTGAACTATTTTGTATATCTATTATATTCTATATTGTAGCAAGGTTGTCTTTTGGTGTAAAAGCGTAGTGTGGATGACATATGAAAGTATAGTGTGAATGACATATAGTGAATGACATATAGTGAATGACATTTAGTGAATGACATATAGTGAGTGAGTGAGTGAGTGAGTGAGTGAGTGAGTGAGTGAGTGAGTGAGTGAGTGAGTGAGTGAGTGAGTGAGTGAGTTGGGTTTAACGCTGCTTTTAACAGTATTACAGTACAGTTATATCACGGCGTGTCAGCTTAATGTGGGAGGAAAGCCCGAAGTGATGCAGGTCTCAGACGTTAACCACTCCGTGAAACCCTCGAGCACGGGTATGGTGCTGACAAACCTAGAAACATAATAGGGACGAACCGGGATTCGAACCCACAATCATAGGTTTCTGGCGTGCCCAAGGGACGCAATTCTGCACAGCGAACCGCGGCGCCTTAGACGACTGGGCCACCCGTGCCCCCGTATCCATGTTACACTGCGGCGTGGTATCTCAGGGGACGAGCACTATAAAACCGGCATTAATTCAGACTGGTACAAGAAGCCGCACACACACTGACACTAACACAAACGTGCACAAAATTAAGCCACTTGACCTGACCTCCCGGTCGATTTATTTTCTCATACGACAAGCAGATAGGTTATTGGAGACATATGCTAGCACGGAATCGACATGAGTGTTTAAAGAAATAGTGTGATTCGTGAAGAACATTTTTATTGACACCACAATAATGTACAAAACAACACGTTTGTATTAAAGAGATTGCTAGACAACTTTAATTTCAAAAATGCGCATGAAAAGTCAGTCAATGTTTGATGATTTGACGTTTCAAGTTGATCGTCAAGGTATATGTTTTTGTCGCTGCTTTTTTTCTTAAAATATAATTCTTTCTTTGAAAGGGGAAGCAAAACAAATCATAATTTTGTCCTGTGAAGAATTATATTTTTGTAAACCCTAGGCCAATTTTGGAACAAATAATTATTTTTTCAAAATATCCCAGGCCTCATCAAGTGTATAAAATAGTCGTTCATTTAAAACAAATCTCTACAATTCTGTATTGTATCACCAGAACAATGTCCTTGTTTTTATTTTCTTGTAAGATAACCACCTTGTAAGATAAAGCTTTTCATCATATCACATTTGCCTTTTATTAGCCAAAGAAAGTGGACAGAATTGGATTGGACCAAAACAACAAGTGTTATCTAAACGTTACTAGGCTGAAGACAGTCGACGCAACACCGGAGACTTTAGATCAAAAGACAACTATGATACCCGTAGCAAATACAACACCATAGACTAACCATTTCTTGTTTGTTTTATTTTAGCATCCATCAAACATGGATGTATACTTTCTTTGCCCAGCAGTATAATTGACGTCTACTGATAATCTCCTATTAATGAACTTCATTTTCACATAATAGGGTAGTAACGTAGGCAGGTGAGAAAATATACATTATATACAGGTAGGTTAGTGTCCGGTACCCGTGCATCCTCTTCACTCAGGGCTAATAAATGTATATGTTCCAGGTAGATCCACTTATACACCTTGAGAAACTGCGATAGAAAATCGATCACTATATTACACATAATACACAATGGACATGAGGCGAAATGTGAAGATGTAATAAAGAGTGACTGAGTGAGCTGGGTTTAACGCCACTTTTTAAATATCACAGCGTGTCACCTTAATGTTGGAGGTAAAGCCCGAAGTGATGCAGGTCTCAGAAGTTTACCACTTCGGTAAAACCCACGAGCACGAGTATTGGGCTGACAAACCTAGAAACAAAATCTGGGCGAACCGGGATTCGAAACCTCAATCATAGATTTCTGACGTGCCCAAGGGACGCAACTCTGCACAGCGAATCGCGGCGCCGTAGACGCCTTGGACACCCGTGTCCCCTCTGGACTGAACTGATGGTACACAAACAGTTTCCTTGATGGCGTCCAACATCAGTTTTCTTCGATGTCCTCCCACATCAGTTTTCTTGATGTCCTCCAACATCAGTTTTCTTCGATGGCCTCCAACATCAGTTTTCTTTGATAGCCTCCAACATCAATTTCCTTGACGGCCTCCCACATTAGTTTTCTTTGATGTCCTCCAACATCAGCTTTCTTCGATGGCCTGGTGCTGTATTTGTGCCACTGGAGCTCCACAGTATTCGCCTCTTATTTCAACATTGACCACTGTGGTCTTTTTGTGATCCACTGTTTGTTCACCTTTTCACATACATCCTAGTTCCCCTTATTGTGTATAATTCTCGTTTCAGCTCCAACCCCACACCAACTCCACCCCAACACCATCAGATGCCCTTGTCCCAGCATCAACCCCAGCTCCAGCCCTTAGCTCATCTCAACCCCATTCTAACCTCAAATCAATTCCAATCTCAACCAAACCCAAACCTAACCCCAAGCCCCACCTCATACCTCAACCCCATCATAACCCAATGGTCAAGCTCCTACTTCAACCCAACCCCATTCTAACCCCAAGTCTAAACTCTAGCTCCAACTTAAACCCAAACAACCTCATCCTAACCCAAAGCCCCAGTTCCAATCCCTATCCAGCCCCCATCCTAACCTCTGCTACTTGTTTCAACCCCAGCTCTACCCACAACCCAACCCCATCCTAACCCCAATACCCAGGTCCAACACTAACCCAACACCAAATCCCAAGACCAACCTGAACAAATCGATTCCCAATCTCAAGTTCTACCTCACACTCCAGTGTGTTTTTTGTATTTCAAAGCTCCAGTTCCAATTTCAAAAGTGGCTCTTATTTAAATATACGTCTTGGTTCTAATCCTAACCCCACCTCAGCTCCATCCTCAGTTCCAACCCCAGTTCCATCCCCAATTCCAACCAAACTGCACACTCCTAACTGCAAGCAACGGATCAAGTCTCAGCCCAAGTTCAAACGTTTTGTTCTGCTGTGTTAATGTTCCTACTATGATATGACACAACTCTGCGTCTTGCATCCTTTCCGCTTCAATAAGTCCACGATGTCCTTGTGGCCGTTTGCCTCGGCTACTTTAACCGGGTTCCCACCCGCGCCCTGGCTGTTGATGTCTACAAGCTCCCTGGAAAGGACATACTCCACAATATCTAAATTCCCCCCACAGCATGCTGCATGGAGGATATTGTTTTCACTCTCGTCCACGGGGGTCAGATCACACCCCCTCTTCACAAACAATTCAAACACAGATTTCCTGCCGTTTTCGGCTGCCATCATTGCAGGAGTTCTCCAAAACTGTCCTGGAGAGTTGATGTCATGTATTTCATTTGCTAGAAGATATTCAACAATCTCTGCGTTTCCTCCGATGCTTGCGTGATGGAGAATATTATTGCTGTCTGCATCCGCATCTGTAAGACAACAACCTTCCCTAACGAGCAAATCAAACACCATGCGGTGCCCCTTCATTGCAGCCATAGAAATTGGTGTCCTGTCATGTTCTCCTCCTTCCGAAGACATATCAGCTCCTTTTGAGATCAAACATTCCACAATTTCAACATTGCCTGATATACAGGCTATATGGAATATGTTTAAGTTTTTGTCAGACTTCAATGACATATTGCAGTGGATTTCAGCAAGTAGATGAAACGCCAATGAGTTGCCCTTGTATGCTGCCATCATGATTGGCGTCAATCCATGTTGGCCACGTCGGTTGATATCCTTCCTGCTTACTGACAGAACATACTCCACAATATCTACACTACCCCCTGAACATGCATGGTGGAGCAGACTATCGTTGTTCTCATCCACAACTGTCAGATCACTTCCCCTACTCACAAGCAACCCAAAAGCTTCTCTCCGCACCTTCTGAGCCGCCATCATAACAGGCGTCGCTCCTAGCTGCCCTCTACTATTGATGTCATCGATTCCCTGGGAGAGAAGGTACTCAATGATCTCAACATTACCCCCTATGGAGGCACAGTGAAGGATATAGTCGCCAGATACGCTTCTCCCAGAGAGGTCGCTGCCTTTACTTAGCAGTAAATAGAATATATCCTTGTGGGCCCTCTCGGCGGCAATCATGACAGGAGTCAACCCATTCTTTCCCTTCCCATTTATATCGGCGATATCTTGTGACAATACGTACTCAACGATGCTAGTTGCTCCACCTCTACAAGCCTGATGAAGCACGTCGTCCTTATTGGCGTCCGTAGTGGTCAGATCACAACCCGTGTTCACCAACAGGAGAAACATCTCGTGTTGGTTCATCAAGGCGGCCATCAGCACGGGTGTTATACCCCCATGACCCTTGCTGTTGAGGTCGACGGTTTTCTGTGAGAGAAGATACTCCGCAACCTCCACACATCCTCCACAAGCAGCACAGTGTAGAATGTTGTTGCCAAGCTTGCTGACTCCCTTCAGATCACATTCTTTACTGACAAGAAGATAGAAAATTTCTTTGTGACCCTTCTCTGCTGCAATCATCACTGGCGACAATCCATTCCTGCCTCTTCTGTTTATATCAACAACGACCTGTGTTAGAATAAATTCCACAATGTCCAAACACCCTCCACGGCATGCGTGGTGAAGAACGTTATTGGAATGACCATCCACGAAGGACAAATCGCTTCCTTGTTCGACAAGCATATCGAAAACCTGTTTATGTCCATTTCTTGCTGCGGCCATTATGGGTGTGACACCATCGCTGCCTCTGCCGTTGGTGTCAACGTTACCGTGAGCCAGAAGGTGTTGAACAATGCTAGCACTTCCACCTAGACAAGCCCAATGAAGTACATTGTAGCCAAGTGTGTCACCAGCTTTCAGGTCACAATATTTATCCAGTAACAGATGAAAAATCCCTACGTGGCTGTTTTCAACTGCAAACATAACCGGAGTTTTTCGGTGATGACCTCGTCTGTTTAGCAGTGCAGCGTCTCGTGAAATGACATCTTCAACGATGTCCACATTGCCACCTTTACACGCAGCGTGGAGGATGCTATTGTTGATGTCATCAGTTTTGGAAATATTGCATCCTCGATTAACCAGCAGGTCATATATCGGTTTGAAGCCTCGTTCTGCTGCTATTAGAACTGGTGTCTTGGCGTTCGGGCCTCTCCGGTCAATGCCTACAGAGTCGAGTGACAGGATACGTTGTACCTCAGCCTCGTTTCCATCTCGACACGCGTCGTGTAGGTCGGGTGGTCTGGCATCCATCTTGAATTTTCATATGGGGTGTTCCAGATGTTCTGAATAAGAATAGACGTTACTTCAATAATAATAATGAGTGAGTGAGTTGGGTTTAACGCCGCTTTAAACAGTGTTATATATCACGGCGTGTCAGATTATTGTGGGAGGAAATCCGGAAGTGATGCAGGTCTCAGACATTTACCATTTTGGCGAAGCCCTCGAGCACGGGTGTTGTGCTGACAAATCAAGAAACAAAATCGGGTGAACCGGGATGTGAACCCATAATCATAGGTTTCTGTCGTGTCCAAGGGACGCAACTCCGCACTGCGAATTGCGGCGCCTGACTGTGCCACCCATGCCCCAAGTTCAATAGATAAAACCTGATTTTTCAAAAACATAAACTACACAATCAAAGTAAGTGTGGTTCGTATTTGAGATGACACTGCGTTAAAGAGACGAGAAAAGGGTATTCTTCGTAACATATTTTGCTTGGCGTTTGTGCTACAGTAGAACACGGATATAACGAACACGGATAGAGCGAACAAACGGATACAACGAACTGTTAAAAAATCCCCGATTTATTTCCTATATAATATCATATAAAATTTACGTACATAACGAACTCTCTACAACGAACTAACGGATACAACGAACTGATATCTGATCCCCGACAAACTGAGAAATGTCACTCAGTGTCAAGTGTCACTGACAATTGGCTGTACGCAATCAGCAGTGAATCAACACAATCAGCGGTGACGGATCAACCTTGTTATACTTAAATGAATGTTATGAAATGTTATCAATGGAATGCTATGAAGTGATCACTGCTAATACAAGTCAATGCTGCAGTTACGTGTATTGTGTTTTGTTTTATCCAAGATGGCGGACATTTCCGAGCGAAAACGTATGTAACGAACAACGGGTATAACGAACTGATTTCTCTGGTCCCTTCGTAGTTTGTTATATCCATGTTCTACTTTATATTACTACACATCTATCGACGTGCATCGTAAGGGAATGTTAACGTCGCTTTCAGCAAAATACAGTCCTATCAAGGCGGGAGGAAAGTCCGAAGCCATGTAGTACCTTGCCGATTATCACTTTCATCTGGACAAGGTACAGATGTTGTAAATAGTGTCATGTGTGAACTGAGATACTGTGTAATCATTGCTTTAAGCTGATATACATAATACAATTTGAGTTGGATCTGGAACAGACTGAATCAAATTTAGTGAGTGTATACACCAAGAATCATATTATCAGAAATAGTGAGCGATCAGTATGGTATTACGCCGTTTATAAGAATATTCCAGCAATATAACGGCGGAGGACACCAGAAATGGGCTTCACACATTGTACCCATGTAGGGAATCGAACCCGGGGCTTCAGCGTGGCAGGCGAACGCTTTCAGCACTAAACTACCCTACCGCTCAATCATGAACAGAGTACATTGTTGGAGAAAACATCCTGTTTACATCCGCCAACTAGAATATGTATAACAAAATATGCTTTGGCGTTTGTGAAGGTTGTGTTGCCATGGTATGTGAAACATAAAAAATGAGGGCATTTATATGATACATTCCTCAACCGCACACGTTCGCATAACGGGCTTGGGTATTATCGATTTCTTTATAAGAATGTCGCAGAAAATTCGGTGTTGAATTAAAAAAAAGAGTCTGGCACAAAAATACATTGTTGCTAGAAGGTTCTTTTATTATTTAAAATAATTCTGGGCAACGAATACTAGATAAAATTCTGACGACCAGCAAAGCTGTAATTCGTTACGTTGGTATTGGTCAATCTGCAGTACTGCCATACATGGTCTGTAAAAACTGCATCTGTATCGATGTACATTACATAACAATGTTGTGCTCTTTAAAAACATATTTTTTAACACGAATGTGTGAAGTCGTGAACACTTAAAGTTACCAAGAGTATGTAAATAAATTATAATTATACTTACTATATTTTCAGTAACATTACACTGGCGTGACCTCTTCGTTCCCCGAGTTGTCCGAATGTCCAGCACACGCTACCCCAGCTGCTACAGACTGACTATCTGACACAAACTTTGGACTTCGTCTCAGCCTCCCCTCTGTTATCAATTTCTGTTACTTCAGGTAGCGCTGAGCTAACTGGTGTATTTATCTGCTTACACTGCATCACTTGGTGATATGGCCTGTTCAGTATCTCCCTATGAAAGTGTAACGCTATTGGCCCTACGGTGATTCAGGGAATAACAAGTCCAAAAAGACCTATGCTTGTAAGGGCTGACTTAAATAAGGATCGGATGGGCGAAATGTGTGTCATCGTTTATCACTATACTAATCAGTGGTGTGCCTGGTCGAGACTCGAATATAAAAAGGCCACCGTGAGCGTTGTTGTGTATGCAGAATCACTCCATAGACAGCGTGTTGTACTGAAGACAGAATCACATCTCAGGCAGCGTTGTACGAGGGATGGTAAAAAAGTTCTAAGCCTGACTAAATTTCAACTAGTCAATGTAGTACATTGTTTGAGTAGTTCCTTGCGGGTGTATTTGGTCTGTTGGGGTCGTTTGTATATTAGTGGCAGCCAGTTGAATGTCATAGGGGTCCAAATGGACACAGAAATGGAAAAGAACAAGTAACGAGCAGTCATCAATATTTTTACTTCAGAGAAAAAAGTAAAAATAAAATTAAAAACACTTTCACAATTGTTTGTTATGTTTGTTAGGCTTAGAACTTTTTGACCAGCCCTCGTACTGACTAACAGAATCACCCCTCAGACAGCTTGTTGTACTGAATAAAGAACCACAACTCAGGTAGTCTGTTATTGGTTCTATACACAAATAACCTTTCGTCCAGAATGTATATCACGCACACAAACAAGACGCATCACGCCACTCTGGTTCTCACAGGAAGACAAAAATACTTCTTTAATATGAAATGGAGACTTTATTAACTTCAACAATGATAAAACTCCCACATCATAAAATACATCATTCAAAGAACATTCACTGAGCTGACATGAAATTTAAAAGATTATCTACCAAGAACAGGAATGGCAGAGAAGGACCTACGATAACTACACTGCTCTAAACTGAAACACAGGAAACGTTAACTAAAGCCAAAGTACTTGGGACTTAACACTTACGCTTTAAGGTAATATGTCTTTACACTGAGAAAGAGAATAGTTCTCATACATTGGTCCATAATATATATATCTATTGTACCGTACAGGGCAACTCATAGTGCTTCACTCAGAATTAATACATAGACAAGCAAACTATGTGCAGTGCCAATATCAGTCTAAATCAAGATTCTACCAGAACTTATGTTTCATGGTGTGTCAGTTTAATTGGTGAGGAAACTAAACAAAGGTAGGATGTAGTGACTGAGTGAGTTGGGTTTAATGCCGCTTTTAACAGTATTCCAGTTATATCGCAGCGTGTCAACTTAATGTGAGAGGAAAGCCCGAAGTGATGCAGGTCTCGGACGTTTACCACTTTGGTGAAACCCACGAGCACGGGTATGGTGCTGACAAACCTAGAAACAGAATCGGGGCGAACCGGGATTCGAACCAACAATCATAGGTTTCTGGCATGCCCAAGAAACAACTCTGCACAGCGAATCGCGGCATACACCACTATACCGTGAGGCAGCCACTTGTTTAAGATAGTGCTAAAGGGTCTGCTTCTTGGAGACATTGATTAATGGCATGGATACTGGGCACAGCTGTTTGCAGAACCTTCGACCCCTGGGTCAGTCGAGTTTGTTCTAATATCTATGACGGTGATCAGTAAAATAATCGAATCTTGACCAGACAATCCAGTGATTGGCATCATGAGCGTTGTTCTACACAACGGGGATACAATGACATGCATCAATCAAGTCAGTGAGTCTGACCACCCGAGCCCGTTAGTCGCCTTTCACGACAAGCATGAGTTGGTGAAGACCAATCTAACACGGATCTTTGGTAAGGGCCATAAGTGTCTCCCCTCAACACAATATTTGAGTTTGAGATAATGATGTTTAGCTCAATGATGAAGCGAAAACAGCCAAGTGAGTGAACAGTATTTCAGTTATATCAGAGTGCTGACAAACTATGAAACATAATTTGGTTGAATCCACGATTTGAACTGACAAACTTGGTTTCTGGCACACCTCTGTGATGCATCTAGTAGCACCTTAAACAACTGGGTTGTGTGTCCTGTTAAATAGGCTCTTTTTACTTTCATAAACTGAATTCAAGTAGATGTAAAAGAAAATGTAATTGTCCTACTAGAAACACTTTATGACAGCACCATAAAAGAAAGAAAGAGTATTTATGGATGTCAACTTCTTTATTATGAGGAACACAACATTTCAGAGTATATGCTTCCTCCTTCATGCATGCCTCATAGCTTCCTTGACCTCATGAAGGAGTAAGCATATACATGTACTCTGAAACGTTGTGTTCCTTATAATAAAGAAGTTGACATCCATAAATTCTCTTCCTTGTGTATCACTTCTAAATGCCTTTCAAAGACTTGACTATTAAGCAGAATTTCCATAGATGCCTTCAACAATGTTCAAAATCATTCTTGGTCTAAATGAAGAATGAGCTAATAATGGCCACTCTCACATTGGGTTTCCTTGTGTCAACATGAATCATAAACACAGGAACATTTATACACACATTTCCAGCAATAATAAAGAAAAAAGAAAACAGTGTTTGCAGTGCCAACACTATGTCATCAAAATCGTGGGTAGCATATGTTCACATGTTATCACGCTTCATCTACACATACAAATACTGAAGAATATCTCAATATAATTTCTTCACTACAATCCGTACACATGCAGTGTATATTATGTTCAATTCCCCACTCCCTCTTGGGTTATCATTATTAATGGTGTGTCTATATTTCAACCTATGGTAAACAAAAGGTCATACTGTTTTATTTTTTGGTTTACAGATTTCAGATTGGAGTAAATGAGTTTGGTTGACGCTGCTTTGAACAGTGTTTGAGTTGCATCACATTTGTCAGCTTGATGTTAGAGAAAAGCCTGAGTGACTGAGTGAGTTGGGTTTAATGCCGCTTTTAACAGTATTCCAGTTATATTGCGGTGTCTCAGCTGAATGTGGGAGGAAAGCCCGAAGTGATGCAGGTCTCAGACGTTTACCACTTCGGTGAAACCCATGAGCACGGGTATGGTGCTGACAAACCTAAAAACATAATAAAGGCGAACCGGAATTCAAACCCACAATCATAGGTTTCTGGCATGCCCAAGGGACGTAACTCTGCACAGCAATTCGCGGCACCTCAGACGACTGGGCCACCCGTGCCCCCAGAGAGAAAAGACTGAAATGATGCAGTCTTAGAGATGTTTACCACTTTGGAGAAACCCATGAGTTATAGTGCTGAAACATAATCAATGCTAACCGTGATTCAAACATAGGTTGCTGTCACACTTAAGAGATGCAACTCTGCACAGTGAGTGAGTGAGTATGGTTTTACGCCGCTTTTAGCAATATCACGGCGGGGGACACCAGAAATGGGCTTCACACATTGTACCCATGTCGGGAATCGAACTGTGGTCTTCGGGGTGACGAGCAAACATTTTAACCAGTAGGCGACCCGACCTCTGTCAACCATAATTTGTCACATACACAAAAGTATTCTTGTATTCACTTTGGCTAATGTGTTGGCCGAAAATCTGCAAACCATAAAATCAAAACAGTGTGGCACAACCCAAACTTCACACCCAAATATACAACTTTTACACCTCTATTGTACAGTAATGACACAGTGAGAAGTAAACCCATACAATGTCCACAAGTGCAGCACAAAACAGTGAAAACAGAAAAAGGAATGCATAAAAGAGTTTTACATGTACAATACAAATGTGTTAAAAATATCTAGCATGAATGAATATATTAAATACATCATGCATTTCAATCACCACATACCAACACTTGGTGAAATCATGACAAAAGATGTCCCACTGCATCATCTAAAACAATTTTCCAAATAAGCCACCCCCAGGTAATCATTCATAAGATGTCATCACAATATACTGAACAAAAAAAGTTAGGGACCATGAATATTTTCGGGGCTATTTTGTTGTAGTGAGTGAGTATGGTTTTACGCCGCTTTTAGCAATATTCCAGCAATATCACGGCGGGGGACACCAGAAATGGGCTACACACAGTGTACCCATGTCGGGAATCGAACCCGGGTCTTCGGCGTGACGAGCAAACGTTTTAACCACTAGGCTACCTGACCGCACCTGTTGTAGTGAAGACTGAGCACAAAATGTCCCCGAAAATAGTCCTGATCCCTCACATGTTTTCTTTAGGATACTTACTGAATCAAGTCGTTATACGCCGCCATATATGGTGATGATGATGAGGCTCACATTCAACACACAGTTCAGCAGGCATTGTGTGATTGTGAAGTGATGTCATGTCAAGATTGGTACAAGTTTTTTTCCACCTTGTATTATGAATTAAAGTGTTCACATTTATTATGCCATTAAACGGACTTCAAGCATAGTAAATCACACAGCCAATATTTGAGTTTAACCATGTTCCCCACACATCAAAGACATTCAGTGAACAGAAGAGAATACAGTACAACCATGACAGCAGGTAAACGTTAATACCGTATTTCCTCTGTTAGACGCCGGCCTCAAATACACACCACCCACTGATGCTGGGTCATACGCACTGTCCAAAAAATATAAGCCATCCCTCTATGAGACGTGGTTCATTTGATTAAAATTAATTATCCCTTTCACATTAACTTATGACATGTAGTAATTACTATCTTCACTTTCGTCATTTCCACGTACACGTACCCTTTGATTGACTGCAGAACCTGTGATTCGGTTAGATAGTGAGTTCCACTGAGCTCTCATTAAACACTAAAGATGCCGTTTAATGGATTGCACGAAATTAATAGATGTCCGGGTGTCTACTGGAGGAAATACGGTATTTCAATCCTTCTCATTTCTGAATAAAATGTATTATTTCCTTATTAAGCAACTAAGTATAGTTTCATGACCCAGCTAAGTTAAGACACAATAAGAAATAGCAAGACTGTGTAATGCAGGTTTCTTATCAGGACAATGCTCATCATTGATCTAGGGAACCTCTAGAGGCTTCTACTCAGCTTCCTATCCCTTGTACACCACACACATGCTTACAGGTGGTTCTAGAAGATAGGCAGCAGCTTTCACGTGTAGGACTAGCATCACTGAATGAGATTAAGTACCTCAAAAATCACCTGGATATTTATCAATGGCATGCATGTCTGATGTTAATGATGGATTATTCTTCATCTTCTAGTGTCTAGACTCCATGAGCAGGCATGGGGTTTCTGTGACCAGAACTCTAAGGAAAAGATTTGATGCAAAGTGCGTCACCATGCTTTAGCATTGACATACGATGGTTAGTGCTAATGTTGCTTTGTGCAAATGTTGCTCAGTGGATCCTGGTGCAACTAAGGGAGACCAACTCTACACAGTGAATTCTAGTGCATTTGATTACAAGGGCCTACCTACATGTAGGTTTCGCTACTGGGGCTTGTCACAAACATTTCACCACGGTGGAACCACACAGGAAGTCTTAAGTAAAAGCGCAGAATACTTTACAAAAATATCTTCATTTCAGCAAGCATGACTTCCCTGGCTTTGCATACACAGCAAGTCATGTACCGTATTCGACGTAATAAGAGCCCCGCTCTAATAAGCGCCCACGGGGATATTTGCTGATATATTGGCTTGTGAACAATCCCAATTGGCACCCTTCCGATTGATCACTGTACACAAGACTTATTTTTTCGCATATAATACGCACTCGTGTGTTATATGTACCCTTAATTATGGGCAATTAAATTCTGGAAAAATATATCTGTCGTACATAAACATTTCAGGCTGTCAGCATAAACCACGAAATTTATCTTTCAACTCTGTATTTTTCACCAAAATAATATTCTAATAAGAGCACCCTGTTCCTAATTTTGAGAGCGCCCTGGGCGCTTATTACGTTGAATACGGTAATTAATTTTGCTGTGTGTCAGTGAATTTCTAGGGACCCTATAAGCAACTAGTTATCCTGTCAGCTTTCGTACCTGTCACATAACCACAAATGTTGCAACCATATGACATAACAAAACGAACATGTTGGGTTGTGACATCAAATATAGAATCATCAAAATGTCATGTATACTTTTCAACATCTCTCCATTATAGATCATGTTGAAATAAAAATTATGTCTGAAAAGATCATCCTAAAAATTCAACAAAATGGAATAACGATTGACACAATTCCTCCACATGCAACATGTTTCTGTTTATACAAAGACGTATATACTGTAAATCTGGAAATTAATGCATATCCAAATTAATACGACTGCTGACCCCAAGACAAAAATGAGACTCCCTCCACCCCATCCCCAGTGGAATGATGCATACCCTTACCTTAATCAAATCAAACAGCAAATAGCTGCTCTTATTAGCACTGAGTAGGCCACTTCCTTAAAAACAATAAACAGTGTTTTCCTGAAAACAACACAGAGTTTATATGTTGACACTGTTAACTGGCATTAAGAAAGTTCAAAAGCAATAAAATTACTGAACCAACAGTGCACTGATTGGTATGCGGAGAAGGTGTCAAGCTTGACACGAGTGAGTAGAACTCTTGACCCCAGCAGTGATATCACACCAGATGCCCATTGTGTAAATCCTATTCTTTGAATGACATTGTTAAATACTTGTTACAACTGCTGCTCAATAAACTGTATTTGTGTTCATATTCAAGTTGGTATTTCTGCTATCCAAAGTTTGTTTGTTTTGTTTGTTGTTTAACGCCGCACTCAGCAATATTCCAACTATATGACAGCGGTCTGTAAGTAATCGAGTCTGGACCAGACAATCCAGTGATTAATATCATGAGCATCGATCCACACAATTGGGATCAATGACATGCATCAACCAAGTCAGTAAAACTGAGCACCCGATCCCCTTAGTCGCCTTTTACGACAAGCAAAGTCACCTTTTACGGCAAGTATGGGTTGCTGAGACCCATTCTACCCCGGAATCTTCATCGGTGTACAGTGAGGCCGTCTTATTGTTGACAGTCATTTTGGAGACGAAGTTTATTAATGCCAACAAAGACCACTCATATTTTTTGCATTTAATTCACACTCGCGTAAATTTCAAGATTTACAGTATCTTTATATGTCATTGGTTTATATACGAGGGATAAGTACTGATATGACTCTGAATTGACAAAAATGGTTGATGACACCACACATAACATAAAAAATACACAATGTTCAAAACATCAGGCACTAATTAGTATCTTTGGTACATACTAGCAATTGTTCCTTCATTAAGTCGGATGTACCATTGTGAAGACCTGTAACAACACAAGCAATAATTCCATAACAGCTTTAAGTTTTAGTGATATCTATGGAGTGATATCTCAGGATGTACAGATGTTGGTTTTGACAAGCTGTTTTAGCACTTTTAATTCCTTGCACAACAGTTTTTGATTTTCTCAAACAATCTGAACATACGATGTGTCAATATTCCCGTTGACATTTATGTAAACTGTATGACAGGAGTTTGATAATCATTTATTAACTGCAGAACTGTCACGGGTGTGTGTACTTGGCAAATCTTGATTGAAAAAACACATGAGCAGCGGATTATGGCACTGCAAAGGGACACAACCCAGAACAGTGAAGTGCAACTCTTCATCCATATAAAGTTATCTTTAGTCATGTGATTTATCTGTTAGACAGGCATATTATTTGTATGAATTAAGGAGGAAATTGTAGTCAAATAATTGGAAGTAAATACGAAAAATTTGGGTCAGCTGGCAGCAATGCAACCAGATGTTGAGTAAAACAGATATATATATGAAACCATATCGACGTTTGTCAAACATCAAACAGCTGTCACAAATTCCAGTGGTTTTAATCGATTATACGATAGTTGGTTAAAATTCACAGCTTGCATATCGATGAGATGTGAATTTATGGTTGTGCAACTAATAACATTGGGAACAGTAGTCATCCTTGCTGCTCAAATGTGCACTGTTTTGAAGTCACGTAAAACAACAAAACAATATACAGTGAAATCACATGATTTCATTTGAACCAACCAATTCCAGGCTGAACTTTCCCCTTAATAATATATTACAGATACAGTGAGTGAATATAGTTTTATGCAGTATTTAGCAACATTCCACCAATATAATGGCGGACACCTGAAACAGGCTTCACAAATTATACCCATGTGAGGAATCGTACCCGAGCTTTCAGAGTGACAAGCAAGTGCTTGACAGGGTTGAGAGGTACGGGGTAGCACATTAGGCACATATTTGTCTCATTGTGTAAATGATCTGATTTTAGTGAGATTACTAATAGCAAGAGACATGTACTGCTCTGGTGAAAACTATGGCAATGACAACCAAGGATCATAATCATGGCCAATTCAGTTATCGGGGCACAATGGAATACAATTGTTAACAACGTCCAGGCCATAGTTTTTTACAAACTTGGTTTACGATCCGCTGACTCCAATAAATTATTTAAAATACCATAACTAAAACCTGTTGACAATTTATCATAAAAACTCCTGCCCTCACGTTTTGTCCCCTCACATGTAATATTATATTCACCACTTGCACGCTGTCTACTTCTCCAGATGCCAGAACATAGACCCACAACCCATATATTCAGTCTTCTACATGTCCCCAGCCTTTTCTTTATGAACCAAACACATGTCACAAAGCGAGCATCTGAATCAGAGCAACACGCAACTTTCTTTTAATTTTCTAATTTGATTAAACTTTCCTTTCCAAAAAAGTCCCAAAGCACATATTGCTCATAAAAGCCATCAATTCCATAATGATATAATGTAAGTAAGAGTGAGTGAGTGTGTAAGTTGGGTTTAACGCCAGTTTGAACAGTATTCAAGTTATATCACGGTGTGATGAGAGGAGGAAAGCCCACGAGCACGGGTATGGTGCTGACAAACCTGGAAACATAATCAGGCTCAACCGAGATTCGAACCATCGATCATAGGTTTCTGGTGTGCCCAAAGGGCACAGAGAATTGTAGTGCCTTAGATGACTGGGCCACCTGGGACTCACCACAGTGTTTCAATCTATGGAGCCCCTAAATCCGTAACTCTCATAACCGGACACTCTGACTTTCTTGATTAATTTGAGGGGGCACGGGTGGCCCAGTCGTCTAAGCACCGCGATTGGCTGTGCAGAGTTGCGTCCCTTGGGCACCCCAGAAACCTATGATTGTGGGTTCGAATCCCTGTTGGCCCCGATTATGTTTCTAGGTTTGTCAGTACCATACCCGTGCTCGTGGGTTTCACCGAAGTGGTAAACGTCCTGAGACCTGCATTACTTCGGGCTTTCCTCTCACATTAAGCTGACATGCCGAGATATAACTGGAATACTGTTAAAAGTGGCGTTAAACCCAACTCACTCACTTAATTTGAGCATTGTACACCTTTACACTCTTTCTCCCATAAGGCTGCAACAGTATGGCATGCCACAATACATATCTCAATACACAGGGTCTGATATGATACGTATATCCCATTACGCCAGAATTACAACACGAAGCCATGAACAGAAATACTTGTGTACTTCAGATGAATGAAAAATGGTGACAGCCTCTTTCTTCTTGTCCAGCGTTCTGACTCCATCACAAAAACGAAAAGAAGAGAAGGCAAAATGATACCAAACAGCTCCTTTGTAGGATACGGGCAGCTTTTCAAGCCCAAGTTTATCCCTATTTATTTTTTGAAAAAGTTATTTTGTATTGTCATGCATTGCGATACACTTACATATGTATCATGTATCGTATCGAAGGTCACATATCACTGTGCATCAGAGATTCTGTGCATCGTTTTATCCTTTCTCCCTAACTTGAATGTGTGATTGAGTGAGTTGGGTTTTACGCAACTTTTAGCAATATTCCACCTATATCATGGTGAGGGACACAAAAACTGGGCTTCACACATAGTACCCACGTGGGGAATTGAACCCAGACCTTCAGCATGACGAGCAAATGATTTAACACGAGGCAAACATCATCCATTTTCTTCTCTTCTGTTGGGCTCTGAGCTCACATGTTCAAGAGTCAGCTAAAGACATATCTTTCTGGTGGACAGTCATTCTCAGCCAAGTAGGTGAGCATCTGCTTGTATTGACTTGCCACAGGGCCTTTTAATGAATAAACTTAATTCATGTCTCAACTGTGGAAGTGAAGAAAGGGTTTAGATTGTATGAAGAAGAGTGAGTGAGTATCGTTTTTACGCCGCTTTTAGCAATATTCCAGCAATATCAGGGCGGGGGACACCAGAAATCGGCTTCACACATTGTACCCATGTCGGGAATTGAACCCAAGTCTTCGGCGTGATGAGCTTTAACCACTAGGCTACCCGACCGCCCCTGTATGAAGAAGAGTCATGTGTACTGCACATACATTTCAGAGAAGGAATTGAGGTGGAGCAGATTACTTGTTTCCAGTGATATTCCACACGATACCACGACAGGAGAATATTCGGCCTCGGGGTACCCTATAACTAGTCTAATAGCCTTCAAGATATCTTCACACTAGTCTATTAGCATCAGGACACTAGTCAGTGTGCAACTACATAGCCTACTAGACTTCAGGATACCTCTGCACTTAATATCTACACTAGTCGACAAGCCTTCAAGATATTGAAAAACTAGTCTACTAACCTTCAGGATACCTGGACACTAGCCGACTAGGCTTCAAGATATCGAGACACTAGTCTACTAGCCTCCAGGAAACCTTGACACTAGTGCACTATACTTGAGGATACCTTGACACTAGCTGACTAGCCTTCAAAATATCGAGACACTAGTCTACTAGCCTCCAGTTAACCTTAACACTAGTCTACTAGCCTTCAGGATATCTCCACTAGTCGACTAGCATTCATTAACATTGAGGCACCAGTCTACTAGTCTTCAGGATACCTGGACACTAGCCGACTAGCCTTCAAGATATCGAGACACTGGTCTACTAACCTCCAGGAAACCTTGACACTAGTCAACTATCCTTGAGGATACTTTGACACTAGCCGACTAGCCTTCAAGATATCGAGACACTGGTCTACTAACCTCCAGGAAACCTTGACACTAGTCAACTATCCTTGAGGATACTTTGACACTAGCCGAATAGCCTTCAAGATATCAAGAGACAAGAGTCTACTAGCCTCCAAGATACTAGCCTTCAGGATACCTTGACACTAGTTGATGAGCCTTCGAGATATCCAGGCTACCTTCACATAGTCTACTAACCTCCAGGATACCTTCAAACTAGTCCACTAGCCTTCAGGATACCTTGACACAAGCTGACAAGCATTCAATATACCTTGACACTAGTCTACTAGCCTTTTGCATACCTCTGCACTAGTCTATTAGCTATCAGAATACTGTGACACATCTTCTAAGTTCAGGACACCTTGACTATGTCACATTAGTCCCAAGCTACAATATTAGTTCTAAGTCTATTCCTGGATGTACACACTGACCTAAGGATATCCTTGTGAAACTGACTGTATCTGTCCTACACCATTAACTTAATGGAATAAATTCTAGATTGGTATTAGAAGCACTGAGCAACATGTTCTTTCATAAAGAACTCAGACATGATCAACCATAAATAAATCCACTGACAATAACATAATCCCTGATGACATATATATGCACTGGTGGACACATTTAGACTCGGTCCCTGGTCAAATCTGGAACAAACTAAAATGCAAAATAAGGTCCTTACAAAATTTTGAATTTGTGTTTATCAGTCATCATGATATGAGAGTACAATCCAGTAAGTGATTGGCAAAAATTACTTCATTAAAATCAAACCAGCCATCTCTCTAGTAACCATGGAAACGGTAAATCAATTGACAATATTCGTCTTGCTTAAGTTAATGAGGGGCTGTTACTTGTAATAAAGAACTTAATGCGGAAACCAGTTTAAGAAAAATCGAAATTAGCTCAAGAACTGTTGCTTGAAAATTTTTGAATTTGGACATGACGATTCACTTCTAAGATGGGGGTTCTTCTTGCAGATTTGGCCAGGGACTGGAGTTTTCTGGCAGTATGCACAACTCAGTCTTGCCTTGATTACAAAAGACCCACATTTATTTCTACAATTTACATAAACAAAATAGCAATGGAATGAAGGCTCCTATCGCTACAAAGACTGGTAATAACATAGTGCTGGTGTCGTCTGCTGCATACGGGTCTTTGACTTTTGGTCCTGAAGGGCGACGAGACTTTGGGGTTTTTCCTGGCACCACTTCCTCCTCTTCTTCCTCCTCTACCTCTTCCCTTGAAGAGTCACCAGGAAGGGCAGGTAACTTTGGTACTTCTGGTGAAATAGTGCACAGTAGAGTTAATATGTACATATGCTCATTGAAAGACTACCTGTTCATAGTGTGTTTGTTTGTTTGCTTGTTTGCTTGTTTGTTGTTTAACGCCGCACTCAGCAATATTCCAGCTATATGACGGCGGTCTGTAAATAATTGAGTATGGACCAGACAATCCAGTGATTGACATGAGCATCGATCCATGCAATTCGGATACGATGACATGCATCAACCAAGTCAACGAGTCTGACCACCCGATCCCGTTCATTGCCTCTTGCGACAAGCATAGTCACCTTTTACGGCAAGCATGGGTTGCTGAAGACCTATTCTAACACGGATCTTCATGGGTCTGATTATCAAGCCATCATCAAACCAATGAATCAAGCCAGAGCATGGTTTCTGCTATGGAAACCAGTGAGTGCCGAGACCAATGAAGACGGAGATTACATTACACAAACGACAACATGGGCAACATGCTATATCCTTGCATCGATCTACTCCACAACATTATAGGACAATGTTAGAATCTCACAATATTCACGCATGGAGTCAGGTGAAATGGGTTCAACGTCGCAGCCAAGATTATTGCACTTTTATAGCGACCTGCATGTGTGTGGCTGCTTGTACCAGTCTGGATTTGATAGAGCTGGACCATTGAGATACCATGCCGAAGTTTAACATGAATACCCCACTCAGACACAGTATACTGACTCCGAGCCAACCAATTGTTGTTTTTAGCCCCTTTAATACAGCCGAGCACCAGGCAGGGTAACAAGTACTATCTGTTAAACACCAGACCTTCCACTTTCCGGGCGGACGCTCTACCATTAGACCACTACATTAGAGAGGCGACTCTCACGAATGAAGTAGGGCTTTTGATCAACTTAAAATGGACATGCATCTCTTCTACACTGCTTTTTTCGTCCATATGTATTCATGTGTGATCATGGAGGAATGGGGTGCATATGTATCATTGAAGTGTTGACAATGAACAAGTTAGAGTTGTGTTTAACATAGATTTGTCTTGCACTTCAGTTCTATCACTCCTTGTCCGCATGACAAGTGCAGGTGTAGCAGAGAAGCCTAAATGTCAAGTAGATGTTAACCAGAGGTGGTGAAATTGGGTTTGACATTGCGTTGTTGTTGTTATTATTATTAGTGCAAGATTATTGCATTTATATAGTGACATGCATAAACATACAGTGACATGCCATCAATGAATTCAATCAAGTATCACATGTAACTGCATATAAGTCACCTCTTAAGACAAACAAAGGGTACTGGGGGCCAATTTTACCTGAAATCCCCATGTATGACATAGCGTACCATGTGACCAACAAGCATGGCCTTGGAGCTTTCCAGGAATTAACAAGTGCAAACATGCATGGTGCAACTCTGTACTGTGAATAGCACGGCCTAGGTTCAGTCTCACACGCCCCTTGAATAGCATGACCTTAGTCCAGTCTCACATGCCCCTTGAATAGCACGACCTTAGTCCAGTCTCACATGCCCCTAGAATAGCACGGCCTTAGTCCAGTCTCACATGTCCCTAGAATAGCACGGCCTTAGTCCAGTCTCACATGCCCCTAGAATAACACCGTCTTACTCCTGTCTCACATGTCCCTAGAATAGCACGGCCTTAGTCCAGTCTCACATGCCCCTAGAATAACACCGTCTTACTCCTGTCTCACATGTCCCTTAAATGGCACCGTCTTAGTCCAGTCTCACATGTCCCTAGAATAGCATGACCTCAGTCCAGTCTCACATGCCCCTTAAATGGCACCGCCTTAGTCCAGTCTCACATGCCCCTTGAATAGCAAAGCCTTAGTTCAGTCTCACATGCCCCTCAAATAGCACCGCCTTTGTCTAGTCTCACATGCCCCTCAAATAGCACCGCCTTAGTCCAGTCTAACATGCCCCTCAAATAGCACAGCCTTAGTCCAGTCTTACATGCCCCTAGAATAGCATGACCTTGGTCCAGTCTCACACGCCCCTCAAATAGCAAGACCTTAGTCCAGTCTCACATGTCCCTAGAATAACACCGTCTTACTCCTGTCTCACATGTCCCTTAAATGGCACCGCCTTAGTCCAGTCTCACATGTCCCTAGAATAGCATGACCTCAGTCCAGTCTCACATGCCCCTTAAATGGCACCGCGTTAGTCCAGTCTAACATGCCCCTCAAATAGCACCGCCTTAGTCCAGTCTAACATGCCTCTCAAATAGCACAGCCTTAGTCCAGTCTTACATGCCCCTAGAATAGCATGACCTCAGTCCAGTCTCACACGCCCCTCAAATAACACCGCTTTAGTCCAGTCTCACATGCCCCTTGAATAGCACAGCCTTAGTTCAGTCTCACATGCTCCTCAAATAGCACCGCGTTAGTCCAGTCTCACATGCCCCTCAAATAGCACCGCCTTAGTCCAGTCTAACATGCCCCTCAAATAGCACAGCCTTAGTCCAGTCTCACATGCCCCTCAAATAGCACCGCCTTAGTCCAGTCTCACATGCTCCTCAAATAGCATGGCCTTAGTCCAGTCTCACATGCTCCTCAAATAGCATGGCCTTAGTCCAGTCTCACATGCCCCTTGAATAGCACCGCCATGGTCCAGTCTCAATGCATCTTGAAAAGCACTGCGTTAGTCCAGTCTCACATGCTCCTCAAATAGCACCGCCTTAGTCCAGTCTAACACGCCCCTCAAATAGCACAGCCTTAGTCCAGTCTCCCATGCTCCTCAAATAGCACCGCTTTAGTCCAGTCTCACATGCCCCTTGAATAGCAAAGCCTTAGTTCAGTCTCACATGCCCCTCAAATAGCACCGCGTTAGTCCAGTCTCACATGCCCCTCAAATAGCACCGCCTTAGTCCAGTCTCACATGCTCCTCAAATAGCACAGCCTTAGTCCAGTCTCACATGCTCCTCAAATAGCATGGCCTTAGTCCAGTCTCACACGCCCCTCAAATAGCAAGACCTTAGTCCAGTCTCACATGTCCCTAGAATAACACCGCCTTAGTCCAGTCTCACATGCTCCTCAAATAGCATGGCCTTAGTCCAGTCTCACATGCTCCTCAAATAGCATGGCCTTAGTCCAGTCTCACACGCCCCTCAAATAGCAAGACCTTAGTCCAGTCTCACATGTCCCTTAAATGGCACCGCCTTAGTCCAGTCTCACATGTCCCTAGAATAGCATGACCTCAGTCCAGTCTCACATGCCCCTTAAATGGCACCGCGTTAGTCCAGTCTCACATGCCCCTCAAATAGCACCGCCTTAGTCCAGTCTTACATGCCCCTAGAATAGCATGACCTCAGTCCAGTCTCACACGCCCCTCAAATAACACCGCTTTAGTCCAGTCTCACATGCCCCTTGAATAGCACAGCCTTAGTCCAGTCTCACACGCCCCTCAAATAACACCGCTTTAGTCCAGTCTCACATGCCCCTTGAATAGCACAGCCTTAGTTCAGTCTCACATGCTCCTCAAATAGCACCGCGTTAGTCCAGTCTCACATGCCCCTCAAATAGCACCGCCTTAGTCCAGTCTAACATGCCCCTCAAATAGCACAGCCTTAGTCCAGTCTCACATGCCCCTCAAATAGCACCGCCTTAGTCCAGTCTCACATGCTCCTCAAATAGCATGGCCTTAGTCCAGTCTCACATGCTCCTCAAATAGCATGGCCTTAGTCCAGTCTCACATGCCCCTTGAATAGCACCGCCATGGTCCAGTCTCAATGCATCTTGAAAAGCACTGCGTTAGTCCAGTCTCACATGCTCCTCAAATAGCACCGCCTTAGTCCAGTCTAACACGCCCCTCAAATAGCACAGCCTTAGTCCAGTCTCCCATGCTCCTCAAATAGCACCGCTTTAGTCCAGTCTCACATGCCCCTTGAATAGCAAAGCCTTAGTTCAGTCTCACATGCCCCTCAAATAGCACCGCGTTAGTCCAGTCTCACATGCCCCTCAAATAGCACCGCCTTAGTCCAGTCTCACATGCTCCTCAAATAGCATGGCCTTAGTCCAGTCTCACATGCTCCTCAAATAGCATGGCCTTAGTCCAGTCTCACACGCCCCTCAAATAGCAAGACCTTAGTCCAGTCTCACATGTCCCTAGAATAACACCGCCTTAGTCCAGTCTCACATGCTCCTCAAATAGCATGGCCTTAGTCCAGTCTCACATGCTCCTCAAATAGCATGGCCTTAGTCCAGTCTCACACGCCCCTCAAATAGCAAGACCTTAGTCCAGTCTCACATGTCCCTTAAATGGCACCGCCTTAGTCCAGTCTCACATGTCCCTAGAATAGCATGACCTCAGTCCAGTCTCACATGCCCCTTAAATGGCACCGCGTTAGTCCAGTCTCACATGCCCCTCATATAGCACCGCCTTAGTCCAGTCTAACATGCCTCTCAAATAGCACAGCCTTAGTCCAGTTTTACATGCCCCTAGAATAGCATGACCTCAGTCCAGTCTCACACGCCCCTCAAATAACACCGCTTTAGTCCAGTCTCACATGCCCCTTGAATAGCACAGCCTTAGTTCAGTCTCACATGCTCCTCAAATAGCACCGCGTTAGTCCAGTCTCACATGCCCCTCAAATAGCACCGCCTTAGTCCAGTCTAACATGCCCTCAAATAGCACAGCCTTAGTCCAGTCTCACATGCCCCTCAAATAGCACCGCCTTAGTCCAGTCTCACATGCTCCTCAAATAGCATGGCCTTAGTCCAGTCTCACATGCTCCTCAAATAGCATGGCCTTAGTCCAGTCTCACATGCCCCTTGAATAGCACCGCCATAGTCCAGTCTCAAATGCATCTTGAATAGCACCGCGTTAGTCCAGTCTCACATGCCCCTCAAATAGCACCGCCTTAGTCCAGTCTCACATGCTCCTCAAATAGCATGGCCTTAGTCCAGTCTCACATGCCCTTTGAACTTGCAAAGACAACATAATATTACAAAAATGATAAAGTCACTCACCATCTAAAGTTCCTTTCATCACATAGATAGCGTTCACTTTGGGGTTGTCATAATCTCCCTGAAAAGAACATATCAGGATTTAGCTAAAACATAATTCCATGAATACTTACATTAGTGGAACATTTAATATTCATTTTCGATTCTAAAATTTCATTTTGTTTGTTCATTAGCAGAGTAGTTTAAACATTATTTCTGACATGATAAGGACCTACTTTCTGATATATGTGTTATAAACTATATATTCTTAGCATCTGAACCCCCACGATCATCATCATCCATGTCACATATATTTGTACGAAAGTACGAAATGGTTTCCTTCGACCTGCTTACTATTTGTTTGTTTGTTTGTTGTTTGTTCTATAACGCCGCTCTCAGCAATATTCAAGCAATATGACGGCGGTCTGAAAAATACTTGAGTCTGGAACAGGCAATCCAGTAATTGACGTCATGAGCATCAATCCAGGCAATTTGGATATGATGACATACATCAACCAAGTCAGCAAGTCTGACCATCCAATCCTGTTTGTCGTCTCTAACAACTGATTTCTTTCGGACACCTTACCTTGATAAACTCAACCGTTAACTTTCCATCAATCTGCGACGTCTCTCCGTTAACTCGTAGTTTGCCTCCTTTGACAGAGAATGCAACAATCTCATCATGTGCAACACCCCGGCCCACTCGACTGTATATATCCAGCTCACTGACGATGGTATGCTCGCCATTTAACACTACGTCAAAAACCTGAAAAATAAATTGATTCAAGTGAATCATTGATGCAGCAATGTGTCAAGTGTTCATTTGTGTTTGTTGTTTAACGCCCAACTCAGCAATATTCCAGCTATATAACAGCGGTTTGTAAATAATTGAGTCTGGACTAGACAATCCAGTGACTGACATCATGAGCATCAATCCACAAAATTGGGATAAGATGACATGCATGAACCAAGTCAGCAAGCCTGACCACCCAATCCTGTTAGTCGCCTCTGACGACACGCATAGTCGCCTTTTATGGCAAGCATGGGTTGCTGAAGACCAATTCACGGGTCTGACATTATGAGCAATCTACGCAATTTGGATACGATGACATGCAACAACCAAGTCAGCGAGCCTGACCACCCGATCCCGTTGGTCGCTTCTTACGACAAGCAGGGGTTGCTGAACCCGGATCTCCACAGGTTAAGTGTTCAACATATTCAATTTCAGGTATTAGGGTCAAGTGTTACAGGAAACTCCATGGCCCCATTGACAAATTGCCGTACAAAATTAAACATAAGAGTAAGCGTTCACACAAACATATCACAAGTATTCTTCTAATTTCTCATAAAGAGACTGACATTTTACAATTTCCAGTTTTGCAAAGACCACCTGTATCTTAAAATTACTGCTGAATTGGCACCAATGGACCAGCATTTGTTTACCTTTCAAGTCAGCAGTGTCGCCCAGCTAATGGTGAGGTTTTTTTCCCTAAGAACTTACCAAGTTATTCAACTTAGTACTCATGGCAGGTAATCAGTGATCAGGTGAGTAAAAAATTTAACATTGAATCAGCAATATCACGACTGGCAGGCAATTAAAGATTTAAAAAAATTAAAAATTAACAAATAGTGATTTTTTAATTTTCTTCAGCATTGCTTTTCAATGCAATAATAGAAAACCAGATAATAACATTGACCTTTAAGAGTACTGCTTGTAGGACTGATCATCCTCAACTAACCACTATCAAGAGTGCCGTATTTTCTTGAGTACACATGGTATAGTGCGCACCCATGTATAACCCTCTAGCCGATTCGGTATTTGGAGAAAAACTATTTAAAGAACACTTTTTATAGCCGGACAGTGTAATTACATGATTAATTTGCGTACTTCAGTATGTATTTGTTGACATGGTATTTCCGGTGTTACGTGCTCACGGTAATATCTTTCCATGGGGAAAAAAACATCAAAACTCATTATTTCTTATATAATGCGCACCCCCTTCTACACAGCTGTGTTTTTGGGGGAAAAAGTGTGCATTATACTCAAGAAAATACGGTACAATACCTCCGATCTAATATGACATGGATCAATTTGCCACACAGCTCCATTTCAGAAGTGATGTCACACCTCCACAGGTCCTATGTCTAACTGACATCTGAATCAGGCTCAACATGAAGCTATCACTGGGTCCAGGGTGTTTATCATGATAGCATGGCCATATAATACCCTGGATAATTGAGGATGATAACTGAAATCTTTCATTCCCATTTGGGAAATTGTAAAAGAATATCAGCTGTGGCGAAAGCCTACATTAATCTGTTACAGAATTTTCAGCCAGATAGGTTTGATTAAGGGTGAGATAAGGAATAATTGTTAATGTAACCTCTAACATGCATCCTAAAATTAATTCTTGAGTTTCACAGACTGGCGATGTAACAGGGTTTTCTCCATTCCAATACTGGGGTACAACAAGGAGAGCATGTGTCACCGCTTTTTTTAGCACTGAACCTAAATGATCCAGAAACGTTTTTTTATAATTACATTATCAGTTTCCTAAGTTTGTATGAACAGCTGATGACACTGTTTTAATGGCAGAAACTCCAGGCGACCTTAGAAAATGTTTAACTATAATTGAAGAACAATCTAAAATTGAAATCTCAAAGAATATGCTGCCAAGTCAAACATTGTGATATTTAAACTGTTGTCAAATGGGCATTCAATTCTATGTCAAATAGTGATGTTCTCCAGAATGTGAAAGAATATGTTTATCTTGGGGTCTTGTTTACAAACACCGGAAAAAGTTATCAAGCCCAGAAATGTCTGACAGATGAGGCAGGCATCAAGGGCCAGCAGCCATGTATGCTTTATTTAGAAAAGTAAGACTGCTGGAAATACCTATTGATTGTCAGTTTAAACTATTTGGAAAACTTGTTCAGCCTCACTGTATTATGGTTTGGAAATATGGGGCTTTTGAGAAATATTGTCAATATATAGTCATACAGTTAAAACAGTCAACGCCAGATTATATGTGGTGTATGGTGAACTAGGAAGAATATCCACTTGTCAACTGCATGAAAGTGGAAATGATCCTATGTTTGTGTAAATTACTATCATCTGATCATACTCTCTCAAGTATTGCTGACAAACTGACGAATAAATACATTGTAAATCAAGGCCTCAACTTCCTACTATTGAATGAACCATAAACTGTCTCATATAATACTGGCTTAAATTACAATTGGTAAGCTAGAAGTTTCTCTTGTTTGTCGTTGAGGTTAAAACACTGCTCGCCAGTTCTGATTGATCAAGGTTTGGTTTTTTTCAAATTAGGAGATATTGCAAACAAAATTCATCAAAAGGCCATTCTTATTATATAAAAGATAACTATGTGATAAATCACAAAAAAACAATGGAGAACAAAGCGTTGTTTATGCAATGATAAAACATTGTTCTATCATGACGTCATTTCTGGAGATTCGAACATCCGTTTGCAACTTGATGACGTCATAAATTGGATGTTAATTTTCAGAGGGAGGTGTTTTGTGAGATGTTCACCGTAGGTGTAGCTGGGCAACATAGATAAACAGAATGGCCGAACGATCGCATCCAAAAGAGGGAGAGATATGACTATCGGTATTGGGAGAAAAGGCAGAAATCGATGTGGAAATTATGACAATATGTATGTGGAAGACAAGAAAACTATCAATACCCATTGTGAATGATAACATGTAAGTAACGATCAATGGACCATCCAAAATATCTGGAGCCCTGGTTAGTTATGGATACCTTCCTCTGTACCACGGTTGTGATTTATTTACTTCCAATATTAGAACCAGATTGTTTTTAATATTCTGTCGGGCAGTTGAGAAATGACCCTACAAGCCATATCAATTACAGTATCCAGTATCACTCTCTTAATGTCATCAACAAGACAACTTGCAACTTATATTTCTTTGATTACACATATATTACCAGTAATATGATCATGATGATTATGAGAATCACTTTGTTAAACATATAAATATCAGCAACTAGACTATTTCAATATGTTACATTTGATTACTGAGATATTATTTTACGGGAATTAATCTGTTAAAAAAGCAGGCTGGTGTTAACTAAACAATTCATAAAAGTTTCGTTTGATTATTGACATATTTACCACAAAGTACCAATACCAATCTCACCAAGCTCGAAACTTGCCACTAGAAACAATATTACAATAACTTGCCCCTAGAAACAATATTACAATAACGTGTCCCTAGAAACAATATTACAATAACTTGTCCCTAGAAACAATATAACAATAACTTGTCCCTAGAAACAATATTACAATAACGTGTCCCTAGAAACAATATTACAATAACTTGCCCCTGGAAACAATATTACAATAACTTGTCCCTAGAAACAATATAACAAAAACTTGTCCCTAGAAACAATATTACAATAACGTGTCCCTAGAAACAATATTACAATAACTTGCCCCTGGAAACAATATTACAATAACTTGTCCCTAGAAACAATATTACAATAACTTGCCCCTGGAAACAACATTACAATAACATGTCTCTAGAAACAATATTACAATAACTTAGCCCTAGAAACAATTTTACAATAACGTGTCCCTAGAACCAACATTACAATAACATGTCTCTAGAAACAATATTACAATAACTTGGCCCTAGAAACAATATTACAATAACGTGTCCCTAGAACCAACATTACAATAACATGTCTCTAGAAACAATATTACAATAACTTGCCCCTAGAAACAATATTACAATAACTTGCCCCTGGAAACAATATTACAATAACTTGTCCCTAGAAACAACATTACAATAACATGTCTCTAGAAACAATATTACAATAACTTGGCCCTAGAAACAATATTACAATAACGTGTCCCTAGAACCAACATTACAATAACATGTCTCTAGAAACAATATTACAATAACTTGCCCCTAGAAACAATATTACAATAACTTGCCCCTGGAAACAATATTACAATAACTTGTCCCTAGAAACAACATTACAATAACATGTCTCTAGAAACAATATTACAATAACTTGGCCCTAGAAACAATATTACAATAACGTGTCCCTAGAACCAACATTACAATAACATGTCTCTAGAAACAATATTACAATAACTTGCCCCTAGAAACAATATTACAATAACTTGCCCCTGGAAACAATATTACAATAACTTGTCCCTAGAAACAACATTACAATAACATGTCTCTAGAAACAATATTACAATAACTTGGCCCTAGAAACAATATTACAATAACGTGTCCCTAGAACCAACATTACAATAACATGTCTCTAGAAACAATATTACAATAACTTGCCCCTGGAAACAATATTACAATAACTTGTCTCTAGAAACACAATGCCAAAGGCCACCTGACAACGGCATTCATCCCTTGAGAGTCAACCCTTTCTCCAATATGTCAATCCCCCCCCCGCCTCCCGACCACCACCCCATCCTCCAGCTCTGTATCGCCATCCAAGTTTGCAGCTGACGTGCTGTTGTCTTACTGGGGATATTCACACATGAGGGGACGGCAAGATTGAATTTCAATAATTTGCAATGAAGTCACAGCTGAACAGTTCAGGTGCAACAATCCTCAAGGGGACATTAAAATATGCCAATAAGCATTAAACAATAACACTTGTGGACACTACAGCTGACTAAACAAAGGCCAAACATTTCTCTATTTTCTCTGGGTGACACTTTCCAAACCCTGGGTTAGCAGTGTGGAAAC